GGAAGAAATCTACAAATAACGTAAAAAAAAAAAGATTCTTATGTGCATGAGGATCCGTTGCTATCATTAAAATAATGGCAAATTCATTTAATTGCATGCACAAAAAATATCAAAGCTACTGTCGGCTCTCAGTCAATGGGAGTCAAAAGGGGGCGAAAGTAATGTGACAACCTGTTTTGCACTTCCATGTTCACAGTCATCGTCATCTACGTGAATGCACATAAAAGAACTACGCTGCGTCTTGCCAATCTGAACTGCGGGCCGATCAGCCACCCGCCTCGACGACTTCATTTCTGTCCAATCTACACAGCGACCTGTATATAGACAAGAACTACCATTGCAGTTTGCGCTGTGCAAATGTTTTCCGTGTACCACTTCCATACAATCCGTGGTCGCTCCCGGAGAACATTTTCTATGATTAACAGACTCGAAAGTTCCCTTAAAAAGCATTCTCACGCGAAGCGTGACACACGAACCGCAGAGTTCGACCGATTAATATTTGAAGAAGTAATTAATATAGAGAGCTGTAATCTATAGAGACTATAACACTATCTACAATCATCATTTTACTTTGAAACAAAGCCATATTGTGGGTTGTTTTAGATCTCTCTCCTTTCTTTACACACGTTTTTAGATAGCGTAGGATTTTTGTGGTCCTTGGTTTACGATTATAATACAAATTTCGAGATTCATTTGCATACATATAATCCCACGACCATTAAAGTAATAGCATCTCGTAATTTTGTTGATTTATACTTGGCTTAGCTACCAACTTATTTCCAGCTTTCCGATAAGTTTCCGAGACTGCAGTACGACGGTCCATAATCTTGTGAATATCATTCTCACGTATTTAGATAGAAACGTGTGCTCGCTTAACGTTCTATGAATAGTAAACGATTTTATATGGAATCGGAAAGGAGACAGTAAATCGCGCGTAAAAACACTAGCCAAATGCAAACTGCTGCTCGCATATAACAATTGATATAATTTATTTGCGCAAGCGAAGAAAGACAAGGTAATGCAACCTACTTTGAGAATTTCGACGCACAAACGACGAGATCAAAATCTTGCGAAGCCAAAAAAAAAAGCGATCGCATCTATACGATATACCTTTCAACACTTCGGGTTTGTGATATACGTGCGGATACAGTGCTGCATTTGGAAAGAGATGTCAGAGCATCCACTTTTGTCATTTCAGATGCTCGTAAATAAGAAAGTGATAAAAATAGTGGTAATGATGTATATTATCTCCACTGTAAAAGATGGAATTGGAAATTGAGATATTAAACGATTTGCGCTCACTACTGACCGCCACCCTCTGCCTGCCTGCCTGCTTAATTGACTGATTATTTTTTCACAGTTTACTATGATTGGTAACGTAATCTGATACATATATTTTTTTTTTGTCACTTCGCAAACAAATTGTTTTTACCAAATTGTTTATTTGGTTACTCGGAATTTCTTGGTACTAACTTACAGGCCATTTTCCGTATTATAGTAGATACGTTACTCTTTTACGTAATGTTGTGTTTGCGCAACGTTCTTCGTGCATTTTAATACTTCAATCGTATTCTTGAAGTCGGTTAAAAAGAGAATTTCTCGCTTTAATCCCGAGATAAAATTCGGACGTTCGGATAAGTTCACTATAAGTTGAAAGCATTCACGTAAGTATCTCAATAAAAAAAAAGAAATTAATTTTTCATATTAAATATTAGTAGAATTAGACAATTACTTAACATTGAAAATTAAAGACTTTGGTGAGTTCTTATGCGGTTTTCATAAATCAGAAATTAATCTTGTTAAATTGTAAGAGATTTTTTGGAGAGACATTCACACTTTTGACATTTTGATTTTCGATGTTAAGAGAAAGTATCTTGATGCTTAATTCTTCAAAATTAATTTCCTCTATTAAAAACCAATTAATTAATATTAATAAAAAACTTGATTATTTATTATTGTGTTTAGAACTTTATTAATATGCTTTAATTTTAATTCCCGAATAATTTTATTAATACTTCAAATTTTTTACATAATCATTATTTCATTTATAATATTGAAATAACTTGTTAAAACATCAAATTTTTTATGTTATCTATATATATGTATATATCGGCAAACGAAAGCATAGTATTATATCTTTTATTTTTGATACATTTATTTCTTCGTACAAAAGTATATAAAATTATGTTGCTATCTCCTCTTTAGAAGTTGTCGTGGGCTAACTTATACAAGTTTAACATGGAATGTACATGTGTGATACAAACTTAATTATTTATTCGTTATTCTTTATATATTTGACATTTGATTTCACATTTTTTATCGTATAGAAGCTAAAAGATTAGATCGTCTGTCCGTATTCTGGAATATTGCCCGGATCAGTTGTTTGACTTGTGGAGCGGTGAATTCCTGTGCTAATGGGCCTTTCCCACTTCCCCATCTAACTTCAATTTCTTTCAGTGACGCACCAAGTAACTTGATCAGTTCCAAAAATTTCCCCCATTTACGTACATGCTGCTGAATCTGTTGATCCTATAAAGTGAAAATGCCAATTAATATACATCTGCTTCATTGAACGGAATAATATTCTTATGGCTTAACTTTTACAGGAACCAGTTGGAACGCTACTATCACGAACAACTATATGATATCGAATGTATGACATTAAATCCAATAAAAATTTATGTCATATTAAATTTCTCGTATATGTATTTGTACTTTATCTTTTTGTATTATGTCTTTCGTATTATATACTTACAGGAAATATCTGCGGCGTTCGTTTCACCACCATATTAAATAGAGTTACCAGTTCGGTCGCGACATCAATTGGAATATCTTCCGCAGATATGACTTTCGTCACCAAATCGTCAATCATGGAATTTGTTATACATCCTAAGATGTCAAAATAAAAATTAGAAACGTATTAAAATATAACGATGAGGTGAACAAAAATCTCAAGGATAAAAAGACTAACCAACGGCTTTACAGTAGATATTTATAGGCAATACATCCAGCCAAACAGTCTTTAATAATTCCAATTGTCTGATGCATTGTCTTAATGCACGTTCGGTGCTAGGATCTAGCTGAGGCGCCTGGCTTAATCCTGAGAAACCTAATTGTAAACATAAAACATTTTAGTTAAATTTACTTCACTTTCTTCGTAGCTAATGAGAGTAATGAGTAAATTATATATATAAACCTGAATCCTTGATGATGTCGAAAATAATATTTCTTTGATATCTCATATGATCCAGGAAGCATTGCGATCCAACGTCTCTGAGTATCATGACCTGATCCGCGAATGTCAAGTTTAATCTTTGTACAATTTTTGAGAATCTGTCTCTGTATTCGTGCGCCAGTGTAAGCAAGTGGTGGGCGAGATACATACAGTTATTGTGAAACAAAGCTAAACATAACAGTGATAATAATTTATGTAACATTCCTTTTATTCGTGTTAGAATTAGTTTTCACTTTTATCACGTATTATTCTTACCAACTTGCTGCGGTATTGTTTCCAAGAACTTTTTATGATGTTCGGGCACTAAACCAGCGTACATTTCGAATACATTTCTACATGTGTAAAATAATCTAACAGCGCAAGCATCCGAACTATCGCAAGCCTCATCCAATATTGTTCTTGCTAGTTCTAGCGTTTCTTGTGCATTTTTGCTAAAATTCAATTGATATAATATTTATATTTAGTCTTAATCTGAATTAATTATTATTAATCAAATAATATACCTTATTTGACATTTAGGTAGATGAAATGACATATCGCTTAACTTCTTTTCAATGGATAATTCGCAATCGTTCTCGAACGCTTTATTTATAAGTTTGGGCGGTTCCTACAGCAGAACAGAATAATTGAAAATCAAACAATCTATTATAGCTCTACGTATCTATTATCTTAATATAACAATAGTTGAATGCATACCTGCGGCTCGTATCGAACAGAATCGTGCAGATCTTTCCTCATTATATTTCTAGCTTTGGCTAATAAATCCTGACATATTCTATCGATAAAGAGTTTGTCAATATTATTCGTATATTCTGATAAGAAGAGTTGATCCTCGGAAAGGAAACCTGAAAATTTTTCATCGTTTAGATGATGCGTAATGTAAGATAAATATTTTTATCTCACGAATTATTAGACGTAAGTACCGATTACTACTAAGTAGTTTTGAAATTCGTTAATTGTCTCGACCACAGGCTCGAAGTTCTTCAGATCCGCGTTAGAAGTCGGGATGGTGTGAGAGATGCAGTCTGCTATCAAAGGACGCGACAATTGTTCCAGCAGATGCGGTTGCAATTTTCTCAGAAAGGTTTCGTCATCCGCGATCATCAGATTTAAATGTTGATGGAGAAATTTGAAGAGTAGCTTCAAGTTGTACAGTACACCTTTGTAACACGGCATCTTTTTCCTCTCCAGTATCTCGACGGTAAACACTTTCTCCTTAACGACATACACCGAGCAGTGATCATAAATGATGGGTTTGATTATATGATCCATCAATTTTGTGGAAAATGTTTCCAATTCATTTTCGAGATGATCCATAATGTGCAATCCTCGCATTAATTCCCGTATGTCGTCATATTCGGTTTTAATGGTGACCGAGGTGATCGTTTTGCCCTCCTTCTCATCGTTGCTCCAGCAGATTCGATCGCGCAAGAGGCCGGAGGCTTCCATCAAGCACGAGCGAGAGAGATTGCAGTATTCATCCCTGATTGCCGCATATATTTCGAGATCGTGCAGGAGGCTATGAGGATTTTCCAACAGAGATTGCATTTGCCGCAGAGTCTTGGCAGTCTCGACGTATTGCTTTTCCTCTTGGGTCTTTTTTATAGATTTTATGCACTTGTGTAGGCTTATCAGTTGTTGGGATAGTTGCAGGCTGATATTGGACTCCTTTAACGCCTGGGAGAGCGCTTTCAACTCCTTTGTCGATCCGGACAGCTCGATTTTGATCTGTATAATAAATGCAAATAATATATTACGAAACGTACGTTTTATCATATTTAGAGTGAAAGATGCTGGTACAACGTACTTGATCATTTATTCTGCTCTGCAAAATACCTATTTCCTCCAGCAGCTGCTCCGTCTTTTTAACCAGGTGTATATCTCTCGTCAACTTTGCATTGAACTCGACATAATTGTCATCCATGAAGTCTTTAACTTCATATTCCAATTTCGTTATTTCCTTTTGTATTTCGGCAATGTTTTTGTGGAGATTTACCTTCTCAAGCTTACCTGCGCGACAAAAGAAACGTTGCTCGTATCTTTTGTTATAAATTTTATTTCATGTATAAATTTCAATTCGTTATAAATTTCATACAATCAATCCTAACACATTGTTGTCTACAAAGACTACAATTTCTAGCCGACAGAAAGTCTGTTTTAGATTTATAGGAGAACATAGAATTAGATTCAGTGTATCGACGACTGTCCACAATTGTTCAAACGTGGCAGTTTGTAAATATTACCTGCCGTGGCCAGTACATCCGCTACAAACGAAGTCATGTTGTAGAGAGACCCTGGTGCAGAATGAGGCTGAAATTTAGGCGTCCGTCTCTTCGGTCAATCGCTCGAGCGATTAAACACTTAAAAACGCGTTTAACACTACTCCGAAACTCCGAATCAATGATTATAACCTTAATTGGTCACGCGTCGTGCCAGATTTTGCTCCTGCGGGAAATCTCCTGCGATCGTAGTCGCCAATTTCCAATCTTATCGATTTTGTTCAGCGAAAATCGAGTCGAGAAAATCAAAGCGTTTGACATGCACGACGGTACTGGACAGCAACCATATATTTTTAAGCAAATCTGCCGGTTATTACGCTTCGCAAATATATGACGCGACAAGTCGACTTGTTTCATCCGCGTTCCGCGTATTTGCCGCGATAAAGCAAATAAAACACATCCAAGCCTGAAATGAAATAAAGGGAAGTGTATGTAAAAAATTAACGGCAAACTTTTATGTCATTTGTGCAAGCGTCACGATTTTCGTTCTGCCTGAAAACGAGATGGGAATATAATTGAGAATTGCAGAGGGAAGGAAGATGAAAAAGTGCAAAAGGTACAGCAACGAAGAACGAATTCCCAGACAACACAATGTCCAAAATCGGGATATTGAACGTTTTTTTAGACATCATATCATAAAATGTCTTCAAGACGTCTTTTGTCCCGATTTTGGACATTCGTGCTGTCTGGGTTGGCTAATGATAACCAAATGACATCATTCCCTGAACCTGAACTCGAACTTTCAGATGGCGCAAGGTCGCAAGGTGTGAATTAATTAGCCTAGAAGAGTTCGACGGTTCTCCGATCGATTACCTAGTGGACCTAACCTCAACCTGGTACCGCTACGATGTTGGTCCGCTTGCCGGCGGACCGCAGTCTCGCGAGCTCGCGTCGATCGTCGATCGTTCCCCGCGGCCGGGACGCGAGTCGCGCGGCCGCGTCGTCGTCGCGTCCAGGAAAATCCGGAAGAAACTCAGCCGGAGGCTCGCACGCACCGGCACCGGCCGAGATTTTCAATTGGCGCATTAACCTCGTCCCGATGTCACGCACGTTATGACGTAGACGGTAGGGGATACCGCAATCGGGAAGTCTACTACCATGAGCAAGCTTAGATTAGGGTCAGAGTACATCCCGCTGACGGAGGGCGACATGTCGAAGGTCCGCCTCGTCGTGCCGTTCTCCCGAGTGGCGTGGTTCACCGTGTTCCTGCCCTTCCTGGCGTTCGTCTTTTGCGTCGCCTGGTCGGTCCTCTACAACTTCGAGCACTCCACCTCCACTCATTGCCAGGTACGATTGTTTAATCGGCCGCGCAGCGAGATAACGACGGCTGTTTTAATGTTCTTCCTAATGGAAATCGAAGCTAAGTATCTTACGTAACTCGGAACGAACGGCGGCGCTTATGATAGGTTTCTAGAGGAGTGGTCTTTTAAAAAGATTCAATTACGTGATTCAGCACGTTTTTCGAAATAAACGTTTCTTACGTATAAGTGAAAAGTTGTTGTAAAGCTTGTGACAGCTTTGTAAATTATAAAGTATAATTTTATGTAAATTTATCAAGTTTTGTATAGGCTCATGGAAAATGTAACTTCGTTCTTTCTTTCATGCAATTTCTAGGTATACAATTTTTTACCATCTATCTCGGCGGCCATAGGTCACTATAGGCCTCAGAGAGATGTCTGGAAGACTGCTATAGCACTGCAAGCGATAGTGAGAACCTTGGTGTTTACCCTGTATTATCGTTACTACAAGGAGCATGTTTACAAATGGGCACAATATCTAAGTAATATCGCGCTCGTTATGTACGCCATTGAAAATACTTCTCTGGTGACACTGAGCTTTTGGACTTCCGACGAGAATTACGGTATGCAAACGCATGCGTCTGAGAATTTGCATAAATATGCGTATGAATATTTAGGCGTAGCGCGTGATACGATATGATTAATGTGCTTATGTCTTGCTTTTCTTACAGCATTCCATAAGATGTCTTTCATAACTTTTTTGATGACGTCGTTTATACACATGTTCTTAGCGTATTATATTATGAAGAGCTGCGTGAATATTGCAAAAGGCTTGAACGATACTTCCTTGAAGTGGAAACGGAGATCAATGATGTTAAATGTGTTATCTATACTAATAGCGTGTTACTTCTTTTATAGGCATAATAAATACTGCGAACCTTTAGGTAAGATATTAATCGACATTCTTATTATTATACGTAGCTGGCTTTTTTAGTTTACGTTATCTTAGGGAACCGAACATATAATTTCAGTGTATTCAATGTTCGCCTTGAGCGAATACGGAGTTGTGCTCTCAAACATGGGATATCATCTAACCGCCGCATTGGATTTTGCTACTACGCACCTTATGCTATCAGGAAACAGACTAAGAATTATCTAAAAAATTTTTAATCACTTTTACATAAGCATATGTGATAATTGTTACATATATTTCAACTTTATTGTATATTACTGTACATATTATTCGTGTCTGAAATCTTTGTGTATTATATCCGAGTATTGAAAAATAATTTATTAGATAGTTTATACAAAAATATAATTTGTAGCTTTTAGGAAGCATGAACGCATTACACAGATATTAATGCCAGATATATTTATCAATATTTGTAGCAGAGCACATTTTTTTAAGGCACTTTAATTAATGCTAAAAAGTTAGAAGAGCATAGAATTTTGTATATAATGATCTTTTTTGCTATTATCTTATTACAAGTTGTTTCTTAAATATTTACTGCTATAACGACTAAAACATTAATGTATAAAAAAAGGTATAATATACAGATATATATTTTTCGAGATAATTGCTTAATACAAAATTATATGACACGTAGAAAGTCTCTTTGGGAATCTTCTTTTTAAATGCTTGTTCTGTTTCGCATTTCACATTTGTGCGATTAGACGACTATGTACATCAACATACATTAAAATTTGAAGTCGCGGTCGAGTTTGTCGGCGATAAATTTCGCTATCGCCATAGAACTAGTTGCAGCTGGCGATGGCGCGTTCCGGCAGTGTAATACTCTGCTTCCGATCGTACCAGTGCCTCCGTCGAAAACAAAATCGTCGACCAGCTTGCCGTCTTTGTCCAGTGCCTGTGCTCTTACGCCCGCCGGTCCTCTGTTAACGATTACGAAAGAGAATCTTACGAAAATAAACACAGCGTAAAATATACTGACCTTTTCACATCTCTGTATGTAACTTCGGGAATAAATTTCTGAAGGTCCTTCACAGCCAACGGATAGAAGATTGATTTTATCATCTCCATGCAACCTGGTACGAAGTATCGGAAGCATAGTTTGTATAAACCAGGGAATTTTGCCATCTCTATGCAGTCTCTTACGTTTATATCAAACCAACTGGAAGAGAATCGATTTTAACGTCGTAAAATCTGTGTCTCCTAAATATTTTCGTGACTATATAAATAATAGACATGTATTTAGATCTCTTGCGATATTTGCAAATGTTATTCAATCGTGTAGGTTTAAGTAAATAATATTTTTGCAATAATCAATACCTATAGCCTTCTCTAGCGAACGCGAGAACAGCGTTAGGACCCAACCAGATATCGCCGTTCACTCTCGGCGTGAAGTGCACGCCCAGGAATGGGAATCGGGGATCGGGCACCGGATACACATTGGTCGTGCAGAGATGCCGTTTGTTGTCGTTTAACAGAAGGTACTCGCCGCGAAACGGTACTATTCGCGGACTTAAATCGCAGCCCGTCATCACCGCCAGTCGATCTGAATGCAGACCAGCGCACGTCAGCACGTATTTCGTTGGTATGCACTTCAAGAAAAAAATAGCCAAAATATTAGATAATCAACGCGACAGTACGTAATAAGATACGGTTTATGTGGGAAGATCATACTTTGCTTTTCGATTGAACGGATATGGGAGCTAGTTGACTCTTCCCTTTCGATTCCGCCATCTCCGTGAATCCGTTTACTTCGAAATTGAGAAAAATTTCGCCTCCCATCTTTTGAAAATCTTCGGCAAAAGATTTACACACAACCGCCCAATCCACTATACCAGTCCATGGTGACCATATAGCCTTTTCTCCCTAAAAATAAGATAATTCAATTATTCGCTTTTAATTGTCGCATTTTTTATACACAGCTATAGATTCTTCATGTAACGTATTAAAAATAAAATTAAAATATCAAGGACGATAGCACATAAATTAAATTTTTATTTAAAAATATATTTGTCTCGATATATATCCGATAGGACGAATTTGTCTGATTAAAACTTAATTTAGTATATTTATAACACATTAATATCGCGAATTTTTCTATGCAATTCAACACGATTATTCTTTTCTGTTTATACCTTGCATTTGGGTTCGTATTTCGAAATGCAGTCTTTCTCAACAATCTGTAAATCGGGCACTTTGTTTTTCGTTCCTCTATCGAAGAGATCGTCTATCCTCTTGACTTGAGTCGGATTCTGGGCGACAATCAGCTTGCCGACCTTCTTATGAGGTATGTTATTCTTGCAAAAGTACTCGTACGATAGCTTCAGGCCTTCTACACAAAGTTTCGCCTGCAAACAAGTCTCGCCGTCAGATCACGGACGTTTTAACACTCTAATCGTGCAACGTAAATGAAAACCAATTCTGAAAATATTGCGAGGATAATTAATTTCTTATGCAAGTTAATATAAAACAATGTTTTTGTTATTTTTGGACCGAAGACTGAATGTATTGTTTCTCGCATCGAAAAGACCGATCGGTTTATATCCCGTGGCGAATAAAAATCATCATTAACCGTCTTCACTTCTTACTATTAATCTTATCACAGGTCTTATCAAAATAACTGCGTGAAGAAGTTAACACGTTCATTTCAGTTTACCTTCATGCTTCCAGGGGTGTAATAAATGCCGGCGTGCACCACGCCACTGTTGTGGCCTGTTTGATGCCTAGCCAGAGCGTTCTCCTTCTCCACAATGGCCATTTTCATGTTCGGATGCCGCATGATCATCTCGCGAGCGGTCGCGCAGCCGACGATTCCACCACCCACGATCACCAGGTCGTACGTGGTGCATGTGCTGAAAAATTTCGTTCACCTGAATCGTACGCACGATCGCATCGCTTGCGGATAGCGATAGAAATAATAAACGGAAATAAGAGATTGAAGAAGAGACACTTTCTCGGCGAACGTTATGGGAAATTTCACGGGACAAGGGGAATTCCCACAACGAGAAATTCTCGCGCGCGACAGGGATGCGTAATCCGCACGTGTGCAGATGTACACGGCCGTCAAACTTCGTCCGCGTTGAGTATAACAGCTGCAGCTTCGCGAAGTACGTGAGATGTTTATTAATCCGCGGCTAAAGAGCTTATTATCAGGCGTTCGCCTACGCCGCAGGTTTGGACAAGAACTTAACAGTTCTGCGTTGGATTAAATGGTGGCTGGTTATTAAATGCTGTCATCGCGCGGCACTTTAGGGGACGATGGTTTACGTTATTCGGGAGATTTCACGGTGTAATTCTTATAATACAAAAAGATCGATACCTTGCCGTGGACCGATAACGAGATAAATAATTCAGCTGCGGCGCAACCCTCTTGGTCAGCGACGTTATCACGTTCGTTCTCATCACGTCGAATTCGTCGTCACCTCAGATTAGGACCGCGCGCTTTCTACACAGAAGCATCACTATGTAGAGATTAAGCAATTGGTTTTCCCCACATCGACATCAAGTCAGATTAATCGCGTATTTAAAATGTGGGTGTCACATTTCAATCTCGACGATTAACGTCCAATTTCACAATCTTGCTCTCTCTCTTTCTCTCTTTCGTTTTTTCTCCACGACGATTTGTCGGCGACGCGATAATCCAATTCTCGATAAATCGAAATTCTCGCATGATCCGCAAAAGGATTAATTATAGAATTACATAGTCATACTTTATGAAGAAGGCATTAATTACAAAGTTAATTACGTGTTAAGTGACTTTTCTTTAGTTCCATAAGAATACACTCAAAGAAGCGCTCGATTTAAAGAGATTTTCAAAATTATTCTCTTTTCTATTTTCTTAACTACTTCGTTCATTCATACGTCGATCAAAATTGATGCACGATTATTGCATGCTTTACGATGTATGCATTGTATGCAATGTTGTATTTTATACAAATGCAATACAGAAGATAGAAGGGAGACGGAATAATTTAAAAAATCTGCATACATTGTAAAGCAATAATCGTGCGCCATAAAGTTTTAATTTTGGAGCGAGTTTATTGTTCCAAAGTGATTCAAAATGAGGCACTCGATGTAAAGATTCTCGAATTATTTCTCCCTCCCATCCCTTTTCATAAAGTATTTTAAATTGATTCATTCATTCATTCATTCACATGTGGAGTGACGTGGACCAGACGAGTCGGTACAATATAGCGCGATACAAATGCGACATGCATCGTGCGGCAACAATCGTGCACTACGCACTATAAAATATATTATAGTTTTGGAGCGAGTTTATTATCCCAAAGTGATCCAAGAGGCACTCGATGTAAAGATTCTCGAATTACTGCTCCCTCCCATCCCTCTTCATAAACCATTTTAAATTGATTGATTCATTCACTCATTCACATGTGGAGTGACGTGGACCAGACAAGTCGGTATAATATAGCGCGATACAAATGCGACATGCATCGTGCGGCAATAATTGTGCATTAAAAAAGTTAATTTTGGAGCAAGTTTCTTATCCCAAAGTGATAGCTAGGCTCCAAGAAGCACTGATGTAAAGAAAGGGTGTCGAATTATGCCTTCCCCGTTTTCACACACCATATATTTTATTCCACACGTGGATCACGTGACTCGATTGCGTAACACAAATGCAACAGTACAGAGTCTATATTTGTATAATGATCACAGCTAATAATTTACAGATTTACGCGCTTGCACGCACCGTCAAAGTCAGAGTCTAAAACTCAGGGAAGGCACGTTATCAGCGTTATCACGAACGTATCGAGAGAGGGAGAGAGAGAGAGAGAGAGAGAGAGAGAAAGAGAGAGGCCTGAATAATCACAGTGTGTGCCTGAATTTACGGGAGAACGTTCAGGACACTGGACTTCAGGTCATGCCGCGGTGTTATTTTTGGAGCACAAAGCAAAATTATCACGTACTCCGCGGACGACACGAACGCGAAATCGTCCGATCCGCGCACCTCGTGACGCGTCTCCGTCACGTGTCGTCAGCAGCTGCTGTGAGCGCGGTACGATATTTTTCGCTGCGGTAAAACATATCGCAGTGACGGCGACAGACCGGGACTCCGGGCGAACGATCGATCAATAATTAATCGGCAATTAGTAATCACGAAACGGGAGTTCACTGCCCGTTCTCATCGGGGAGTCGCCGCCCCGATTATTAATCATAAAAGTACAATCATTTCCCGATTAATGATTGACCTTTTTAATCATGATCGATGATTATTTTAGCTCTCGTCGCTTTCATTATTCACAAAGCTGATGATCACTGATTACTTAATAATTATTAATTATCGTTTTATGCACTCCTTCCCTGTCTTTCTCGATAGCTTTTTTTCTTTCTCTGATATTTTATTTTTATTATATTTAGGTATAAACACGAATATTCAGGGATATTTTGGGGGGAACGAGAAAACATATTTCATATTTATTGAATTAATTTTTTTTTATAAATCATTTTCTCGACGACGAGAGCTTAGATTGAGTTATTAATTTGAGGTAGACGAGCCTGAGCTCACGAGAGAGCCACGCTCGATTTTTAGGACCGACGATAAAGTCGGCGTTCGGCAAGTGGTGCCCTCTACGCGGCGACTCGAAGCAACGTTTCGGCCGACGTTTCGGAATTTTCAAATACGTGTAATCTTTCCGTCGATTCGCGCCGCGTTCGCGTGAAGTGCACATTTATCCGGATGAATAACGCGCGTTTGTTACTTCGCTCGTACTTCTCTTGTACGTTCGTTGTGTAGCGCGGATGTGTAGTTAAGGATAAACGGCCAAGTCGGAGCTGGAGGGTATGTAAGTCTCGCAATTTCTCTCTGCGCGTTCTTCTAAGGCGCCGTTTCTCTTAGCCGTATAACCTCCCTCACCTCTAGTAGTAGTCTTTTCTCTCTCGAACTATATTACGCGCGCGTGTTTCTCCCGTTTTGCATGTGGAAGAGATAAAAAATATGCGGCTGAAAGGAACAGTTCTCCGGTAGAACAAAAAGTCATAATGAAATCAAAACGATGGTAAAAAGACAAAAAATCGTCATTTTGATTTTATTGTGACTCGCCGTTCTACCTGGGTTCCGACAACAAATAGCCGTGCAACCGCACGAAATACCACAAAATCGATCATTCTAATTATAATAATATTACACCGAGATAAATTTTATTTTAGTTTGTACCATCAAGACGTATACAAAAATGCATTCTAGTCATACCAGAATTTTTTATTATTGTGATTGAATTTCTGATTTCGATATTCTGATTTTGATTTTGATATTTTACAGCTAGAATATTTGATAGACTTAAGTATTATAAGTATATCTGATTCGTACCTTTTTCTGGTTGAATCTATCATCAGATTTATAGTTTATACAATTAAACCTTTTTTCCCGTGTACAGTTAAAATAGTGTCAAATTATCGGCACTCAATTTGAGTCACTTTATATTTTATTTCTGTAGGTTGCCACTACTCCCATTCAATATATGTCGTTAACTTTAACTAAAACAATGTTAATTTAACTAAACCAATGGAGTTAAAATAATATACTGTTTTGTATTAAAATAACAAATTTCGATACGTATATGGTAGTTAAAAATAACAAAATGTTATTTAATTCGAGATATTGGTTTAAATTTCATCCTTTAATACTTAAGTGTTAAATGAAGTTATTCTTGCCGCGATAAGATATAAATAAGCAACCGTAGATTCTCGAAGACATAAATCGGCCCGTAGCTTTCAGATTGGTCTCTTCGCGGTAAATAAAGATAGTCAATTAGATATTTCAGGTGAAACCTATAATACTCGCAGTCGGCTGGCCGTTAACGTTCGCTATCTTAAATTCGATAATTTCATATCGCGATGATGAAATCTCAAAATAGGCGTTTAAACTTTAGATAGAAGGCAATAGTCGCGCGCGCGAGTTTTCCGTCAAATAGCAGCTGCGTTGAATACCTACTTACAATTAGAGACGAGAGAACACGGGGCATCGTTGGAAATATCGCGTACCGGCGGCGAGTGATCGAGGCCGCGACGCCGCGGTTTCGAAACGGCTTTTTTTCCCCAGGTGACAAATGACCGTGTCCGCGTCGATCGTTTCCTTCGGCAAACATCGCGCTTACGCGACAGCGTGAAAATTAATTAACGCACGCTAATATAACGCACACTGATTAATTAACGCACTCTAATAGCGCGTTAGTGCGTCATCGACGGCATTTTCCTCCTTCGCACACACGTCGCCCGTCGCATTCTGCGATATAAATGCCAATAATAACGAAATTATATTTTGAAGTTCTTGAAATTCTTGAAAAATTATATATTCTAGAAAAATTATATTTGTTATAAAGCAACATTGCGACATCTGGCGCTACAGGCTTTACATTTTCTGTATAACGTATAGTTGAAAAACTCCTACTTTCAAATTGCAGTGTTTAAAATGAGTGTGTTAGATGATAAATAAATTAAAGAATTTGATAAGTACTAATAATAAAATTATATGCGGGTTAATCTATATTAATTATTCACATTTGTATAATTATTAATTTTATATCAATTAATATATTTATAATTATATTACTTATATCAAATAATATGTAATTTTCTAACCAAAAGCCTTTATTTTCCAATATGATACAACCTTAGCACATTTCGTTTCTTCTCTATTTTCTATTTTTTCTAATAATCTTAATTCTTTTCCACCCAAATCATCTTTCGCCTATTATGCTTACATTTTATTGAAATTACAAAATATAACATTTCCTTATATTATATTAATATTTATGAATATAATTATATTAATGATATGTATCTCTCCGCACAGAAAAAAAGAAATGTATATGCGCAAGAATATATAATCTTGAAATGAGATTATATTGCGTTAAACTAGAAAAACTTGTTTGAATGAAGTCATTTATATATGATCAAACGAAGTTTTATACATATATTCAATGAAGAAAAAAAAGTTGAAATTCTTATAAGAAGAATTATATATTCTTGCGTAGGTATATACAAGTATATCAGTTGATTTGACACTTCTTTTTTTCCGTGCGGAAACTATACTTGAAAGTAAGTACCTCAAATAACATTTCTAGTAAAAAAAAAAAAAAAAAACTAGATCGCTGCAGGTCGAACTATTTTCTACTGTATCCTGAAGATCGTGATTAAGAAATACTTATTCTGTACTTCTTACTAACAAGTCAATGATGTCTCTTTAATGGCACATGGACCGCGATCGAAGTTCAGCCTGACCTCGTAACATATGACTTGTTGTTACACGTGGTATCGAGAAAGAAACGAAAGACGACGACAACGACACGGTAGATATTGTTTCGCTGAGGTTTCTCGCGGTGATAAATGACCGTGTCCACGTTTCTCAGTTCCTCGTTGCACGAGGATGTATGAACGCGTACGAAGTCGGACGCGGTCGAATGGTCGAAGAGTAATTGGCAGTTACGCAGCGGACGTAATCCAATTTATCATTTGGTGAAGGAAACGGGGTAATATCTCCGCGGGAGATAACGTGGGACGCGCATTATATGCTTAACTGCGAAAGGAGTACGCGCGGCAAAAATTTCCCCAGTCGCCATAGTTCGATATTTAACCCTCCGTTTGTATACGTGGGTCTACGGCGTCCGAGACAAAATAATAATCTGCTCGTAACTTTCAGGCCGGTTCTACATTAATAGTATCGTAGAGTCGTAAGTCGTAAGTCGTAAGTCGTAAGAAATTGACCAATCACAGTCGATTATTCTCCTCAAATTCGACTGTAATTGATCAATTTCTTTTACGAGTTACGACTTACGACGCTATATACGATACGACTAATGTAAAACCGGCCTAAAACTTGCAAGCCTGCGAGAAAATATTAAATAAACACGATGTTTATCAAAATGGCTATAAAATCGTCAATGAAGACAGACGTGTATTTTTTCAGATTTTTTAAATACTTTAAAGTAGGGAAAAATAGCGTCAAATGTTCCAAATCCACGTATACACTCCAAGGATGCAAATAAAAAACATATACAGACGGAGAGTTAAAGTCACACGTGCCATGCGTCCGTAACGTTTCGCCACACGATACACAGCTCGGTTCGCTCGATTCGAAAAAAGTCCCTCGGTTTAGTCTCGCGAGGTTATTAACGGCCAAATAGTTTCATTAAGGAAAAATCGATTACACGAGTTATATCTAGAAATGATCTGCGGACCCCGAACACGCGCGACAGGAGAGAACAAGCCGCCGCGCCCGCACAAAGCTAGGCCGTTATTTGTATCGCGCGCATTAATATTTCATCGTTCTAAATGCAACTCGTGTGCGAGCGCGCTTGCTTGCTTGCTTTCTAAGCAACGCCCTTAATCTCGTCATCCATAATCCCGTACGCTCCTACGCTCGTAGTATCAGGAGCATTATTTTCAAGGCAGGCACGCCCGCGCGCGTGGTCGAGCGGAGATATAAATAAACGATCGCTTAATAGCGCTTGGCACGGTGCCCGGTAAACAATTTCGATGCCGCGGTGATCCGGTGGTGCGGTTCCGCGATATTAGCGGTAAGTTTCGTTATCCCCGTTTCGCGGATGGGCTCGCGGGAGGGAGGGAGGGAGGGATGAGGACTGCATTACGCGAGCGAAGCTTACGTATAGAATTACGGCAGAATTTCACGAAAGTTCACCTTCTCCCCCACCGAGGTCGTTCACCCTGAATCGCGAACGAGCGCGAATCCGGACAGTTTGATTAAGAAAGAGAAGTTTCGGCGGCCGAGAGGAACCGAGCGTATTAAACGCGCGGCCGGCTGTGCCGCATGTGCAATGCGGATCGTGTGTCGCACCTGGCTGCGGTATTATATCGAATCTAGGAGATCCCTGCCCATTCCAACCCTCTGCCCATTGTCCCGTTCCCCTCCCCCCTCCCCCCTCCTCCTAGAGAACCGGAATTCTCTCACGCATCTCGCGCGCCGCGGCGAAGAGCGAAGAGCCTGGCTTGTCTTTTCGTTTTATTATCTCGTACGTCGGAGCGAGATACCTCCCTCTGTCGCGTGGTCTGTCGAGACAGTATTGTCGCGAAGTTACTCGCGGCTTGCGAGAACTTATCGCCGACATATCCCGCAAGTGCTTCGTCCTCGCTAAGACGATTAATTTCTGCGGAAACGCTTCTTCGTTGAAGCGAGGATATCTTAACTTCTATTCAAATAACCGTTTTCTTCTTCCGGTCGAAGGAAACGACGGTTTTCCTCGTAACCGTTATTCGCAATCTAAACTTTTCGTAATTAGATACCCTTACAGAAATTTAATACTGTAAGTGATTATTTGGCTAGTGATAAATTACTTATTTCAAGTATTAAAAGTACTGTTTTTAATGATTTTCATACTCAAAATAATTAATTACTAGCCAAATAATCACTTACACTACTTACAGTATTAAATTTCTATAAGGGTATTGAATTACTTTAAAGATAGATAAGATAAAAGATCAATAAGAAGTACAATCGCTCAACTTTCTCTCCCATGGAAGCAAGTATATATAAAATGATTACAAATATAAAATATATTACGGTATTGATTGTAGATATAAATGGGTTCCGAGTATTTATAAATTTATTTTAAACGGAGCCTACGTGCTCGATTCTCGAATGGCCTCGATATATGTGCCTCATGTAGGCGCGTCCCTGAAATATGTGCTCAGAGCGTGAAACCGGTTCCATATGGCGAGTAATTTCACAATAATACAGTTGTGCGAAAATAAGACTTGCGTTAAAGAAACGGAGTCTCGTTGGGGATGAAAGTGAAATGGAAATCATTTAGAAAATAGACTGAGTTTTGAAAACGCCTTTTAGAAACTGCATTATTTATATATTTACAATCATATTCAGAAAAAATTTATATATATATATGATATACATACTTATATCTGATTATATTCTATATAATCTAATTTTTCTTTCTGTTGAAAAATGCTCCGAGTGCCAATAACCGATAACTACAATTGGTTACACTATAATTGGTCATAGACGTTAAAAATACATTTATAAAGTACAAAATAAGCCTGTAAAATATCTCCCCTTTTACAAACGAGTGCATTGCTCGAAGGAAACGTACATTTCTTCGAGCATCTATTTCTCGCTCGGCTTTTTTCGCCAAGTCTCCGTGGATTCTGTCTTGAACTCCCGGAGTCTTCGATTTTGATTTATGTAAAACGAACGGAGGTCTGTTAAACGGTTTGCAAGATACGGAAAAGATGCAGCGAGAGAGAGAGAGAGAGACTGAAACAAGTTTGGGAACCTCTATTGGCCATCGCGCGCGAGGCCTCGCCGTTCCCCCGTGCGATCACGCTCCTGAGCGTGCGTGGCCGCGGTGCGCGACGGTTCTTTGACTCTGTGCCGGGAGTCAGTCAACCCGGTGACGGCTTGCAGGCTGCGTGCTGGTTTCCGCCAAGCGTGCTCCTCTCGGCGCTCACGATCACGAGAGCCAAGACGCGCGCGAGTCGCGTCCGCGTGTGTACGTGTGCAAAATCTATATCAACGTGCGTACTGTGATCTGAGCCGACGATCGACTCGGCAATCAGTGGATTTTCGGGAGTCTTCGCACGCGTTTTCTCTCACGTGCGACGCGCGACGGGGAAGAGCGCGCTCGCTTCGAAAATGCGAAAAGCCCGCGATGCGCGCGGTCGACAGGTGACACGTTCTCGCTGAAAAGAAAAGTTTACGTTCCGCTCGTCGGGTTCGTTCCGAAGCGCATTCCGCCCTCGAAACGCGATGCATCGCCAACGAGCGCGCCGGTGAGCGAAGCGAGGGATTTTTCTTCGGCCCGATCGATCGGATCGTCGCGCGTGTTCCGCGATCGTGGGATTCCGTGGGATTCCGTGGGAATGTGGGAACCGGTTGTAGCACTGACGATGAAACGAGGAACCGCGTGCGATCTCTAAGCCGAGATCGATCCAGCGATTACGATCGACAGGAGTTCCTTCTCGGTGTACCATCACGCGTGCTCCGGAGTCCTTCCTATTCTTTCCACGTCGTTTGGGAGCAAAGACCCGTCGATTTATGTTCCGTAACAGCCGCTTTTAAAGAGGATCTACAGGATCGCCCGGTTATTGGGTTTGCCTATAGAAACGCCCGACCTTCGACTCCGGAAGCGTCACAGTTTACGAGGAACGTTTTCCAATAGAAATCCGTTTCCTCGAAGAAACCCTCGAGTGCCATTTTTTGCGGCGGAAGGATCAGAATAGTCGGCAGCAAAGTGCACCGACGGATCTCGAGTACTCCTATCGTTCCTCGGATCGTTTCTGCGCGCCGATCCGGTGAAAGGACGGAGACCTTCGCGGCGCCGCATCGCCACGTCGCTCGCGTCATCCTGAGGAAGGAATCCTGCAGACGCGAATCCTGCAGAGGCGATCCGAGCTGCCGCGGCAGCTCGAGAAGATCCACGAGGAACTCTCCACGGACTCCAGGACGATCGCCATCAGACGACGTACCGCCGGCGCATCCGCGATGGAGGACGAGCTTCGGTGCCCCAACTGCAAGGAGCTGTTCGTGGAGCCGGTGCTGCTGCCCTGCTGGCACGCGCTCTGCCTGGCCTGCGCGGTAAATCTGCAGGCGCCGCCGGACTCGCCGCCGGAGTCCACTGCCGACTCCGCCAACGCGCCCGGCTCCGATCAGGAGGCCGACAAGCTGTCGATTCTGTCGGAGACCGACTCCGGCGTGGTCTGCAGCAGCACGTCCACCAGCTCGCGGCCGGGCAGCTACGTCGGCACCCCGGGGAACGGCGGTTTCCCGCCGTCCGGCGGTACCCTCTGCCTGTCGTGCCCGGTCTGCCAGAAGACCGTCTACTTCGACGAGGGCGGCGCCCACAATCTGCCCAAGTACCGCGCGATGCAGCACATCGTCGACAAGTACCAGGAGTCGCGGAACTCGCGGCTGCAGTGCCAGATGTGCGAGGGGGAGCCGCGCGACGCGACCGTCGCGTGCGAGCAGTGCGAGGTTAGCGCGACGCCTGATATTGTATAAACGGGGGATGTATGTAGTCGGGGATGCAGTCCCGTTGATGAACGGGATTGCGAGAGGAATAGTACACGGATGTAAGGCGGAACAGCAAGTTGTCGCACCGGAAACGTCATTTCCCCCGGAACGCGTCGGATTAGCGTGAAGTATTTGATGACTAGTTAAATAGAGTCTAATGAGAGTTTGTAATAGCCGAAAGTAGCGACAAGACGTATGAAAAAAAGTAAATAGTCACTCGAATTAAGACGGAGGAGTGACTGTTAAAATAATAAACTGCAATGAGGTCAGGCTCGTGTTTTCAAGGCAAAATAGAAAAGAACAATAAACAGTTCGGGATATTAGCTTAAATTATAATTTATTGTCAATTAGACAAATTATTCGGAACGTTTCGGACTTCGCTGAGTCCTTCTGCAGCCGATATAAAATTACAAAAATAAATAAAATATTATTATGCAGGGAATCATGTATTATAATTAGTAAAAGTTAACGAATATATAACGTGAGTTAATTTTAGATAAAAAACGAAAATTGCAATATAAAAGACTGAACTGAATCGAGCTACAGATAGTCAAGGGGCTAATAATTGTTAATATTGATTTAATCTTTCGCTTGCCAACGCGTGTATGTTTAATCGGGAACTTCGTAGGAATGGCAGAATAAAGTTTCAAATAAAAATTCCATTAGAGCTGCTCGTTAATTATGACAACATTGTTTTATTTTATCTTGAACGGACAAGCCATAAATTTCGACAGTATGTCATAATTATGGATTAGGTTATTCCTATTTAATTTGTCTGGAAATTTTTGAAGAAGATGTTTTTACGCCGCGGCTAAAGAGTTAAAACGTTTTCTTATAGCAAGTCCTATTAATACTTCAAAGTTAAGCAATCAAAGCGTTGAGAAACTCGTCGAAGTTTTACGACAGCTAAATTAAAAAGAGTTCGTAGTAACTAAATAGTCTGCTTCATGTAAATGCGTAATTTGATATGATCGATTTATGGAGAAGACACGATAATTTCATCTCCTGCTCGGCAATCCTTTTTTTCTCGTCTTCGTGTTTCCACAAGTTTTCTCTTGCAGTTCCACGAATGTGTACACGTGTATAGAAATGTATGTGCACCCTGTAAAAGAAGCCAAACAGAAGATCACGTAGTGTAATATCCGTGCGAGCTTTTCATTATTTTCATCTTTCCGCTCTTTCGGCTCTATAGAAAGTTCTCCTCTCCTCAGTCAGAGACAGGAAAGAAAAGAAGAAAGAAGTGTCTGATGAGACACTCATCCAGCTTTGCTCAAAAATATATTCCACAAAAATCATCCGGTCTGAATACCTAAGTCGTAGAAATAGTCAGAACTTCGGAAATTGGTATTTTTAATTAAAATCCGAAACACAAAAAAATGAATGTATACGATGATCAAAAGCATAGATCGAGAGTCAGCGTTTCCTACAATTATCGTGTTTATCTAGCACACTCGATATAGAACGAGCGCGACGTTATTTCCGCCGATAATGCCTAATCCGTCGTCTTGTCGTCTTTTCCTTCCTCGATATTTCTACCCCGATGCTTTGATTCGATCGTTCTCTCTATGAAAACTTTTGCCGCGCCACGCCGCGCCGTGCCGTACAGATCGACAAAGTTCCCAAGGCTACCATTCTTAACGACCGCGGCATCAGCCGTATTTATTTCTCTTGTGTGCTTTCCTCATCCAGAGGCTCGTTAACTCCCCCTCGTTCTTCCTCGAAGTCCACTTCATAACTTTTCTCTTCGCGTTATAAGCGCACTAGAGTCGCTCTCGGCTACAAGAGCCCCGCCGTCTATATATCTTTATCGGCATTAATATCGAGCGAGTCATGGGCGTGTCGTGTCTGAAAGAAAGAAATTTTGCCGGTCGAAATCAAGTACGAAGGACAAATCCCGTATACGAGAGAGGCGCAACAATTTTGTTCATTTAACTCCCGCGACTGCACAGATGTTCCCTGTTAATTTCGCGTCGAACAGATGTGTCAAACATCACGGTTTGTTTATGAGAAGAGGTATTTCTATCTTATTTTTTTAGCCTCTCTGGATAAAATGCAATAAAATGCAATGTTGTTTCGAATACCAATTAAATTATCCCAATTAAAAATTTTGATTAATTACATGTTGCATATTTTTAATTGTTTTATAATTTATCAGTATTTGAGGACAATATGTATATAGATTTACTTAACGTTTTTTGAAAAAAGTAAAGAGAAAACCAAAAAAATATTTAAAAACGAAAGAAGCACATAAAAGTTACCGTGATGTAAGGCATTTTTTCGCCGCTGGAGTGTTTAAATAGCTCCAAGCGTTCGTTCTCGGGTTAAATATCTTTCAAAATTTATCATTACGATGAATCTTTTCTGCTTCTTTTATAAAGTCTAAAAATTCGAACATTTTTTTTACTACAATATAATTTTGGAATAAATTTTCTAAGTTTTGAAGAACGATATTTTCTGGACAATTGTCAGTTCCGGCATCGCGCGACATGTTTGCACGATATATTCGCGCAAATCGTCGCCACGTTGCATTCATACTCTCACAAAGAGAGCGATTTTATATTGTTCGGCCGTTCTGTTTGAAAAGATCGAGTTACCGCGCTTCAGAGTGCCGCCGCGTCGCATGAAATATCTCGTTGCGCGACAACGTTGTACGCCAATCGCACACACCCTCGTCTCGCCTCCTCCTCTTGCTCGCTTTCCTCCGAAGTGTTAAATTTCATTTTCGGCCCTCTCGTGGCGGTCCCTCCGGTATACCGCGTTGCGAGACAAGTGGCGGATATTTTTTCTGTGATTTTACACTCGCGCGTCCACGCCGCGCCGGTCGCAACTCCTCGTTGCGCGCGTGGAAAAAAAAAGAGAGAATCGACGGCGCCTGCAATTTCATTCGTTGCCGGCAACATTTCCGCGCGCGACGACAATACCTCGGCTATCGATAATCGAAATGATATTATTTCCGAGAAGGAAATACCGAGTGAACGCGGAATATTCGATGGCGCTCAACAATATCGCAAAAATTCCAGAAGAGAAATAATAATTCTTAAAATTAATGATTATTGGCGAGTTCAGTCTACAATTACGTTAGTATAACTTCGGTAAAAATGGAATGTATTTGATGTTTGACATAACTAAGAAAATTTTATCGACGCATACATCTGCGCGCATTTATTATTTAATAAAAATATGGTAAAGAAAAACAAAGGAAAAAATATTGCGACAATTCTTTTTCTGTAGACATTCGGTTTATAGATATTATGAAATCGGTGTGTTGAAAGTTCATCAACGCGTTCCCTTCTCGTATTTTAATATTTCTTTATAGTATTTCGCAAATTCGAAACTCGACGATTCTTCTTTCAGGTTTTATACTGCGATGCCTGTAGGGAGTCTTGCCATCCAAAGAGGGGCCCATTGGCGACCCACAATCTGGGACCACCGAGAGGCAGCTGGCAATCAAGCGGGAGCAAGGGATCTCGGCCGGAGGGCACGCCGATCTGCAACGATCACAATGGCGAAGCGGTGACCCTCTACTGCGCCCTTTGCAAAATCGCGATATGCGCCCTGTGTCTTCGCGATCGTCATGCCGCGCATCCTCACGACGTTCTGCCGTTGGCCGCCGCCTGCAAAGCGCAAAAGGTGAGTAAACGATCTTCAACATTTTCACCAATGCCATTTTCAACGCGCGTGATATATTTCTATTATCACAATTAACGCACGGAAAGCGATAAAGTCGATCGAAAATCAGACCAGTATCAGATCAAAAGAGGGTTTTTTTTTATATGTGAATATATGAGGACTAGGAATAAGAGAAAAAGAATGGCTAAAATTGCAAAGAATCGTAATACATAAAGATAATTCGGATTGTTTACTGTTAGATCCACTGTCAATAATCATATGCTTTGCAACACGCGATAGTGCCGAAATTGAAATCTCGCGCGGTTAACGTCGGCTATCGTGTCCGGGTGGTTGCGGAGTGGACAGTAGAGACCAGGAGGGATATAGATTTTATATATACTGAAGAATGACGTTGCGCCCGGCGGAATACGCGGCGCGATAATATATGTATATTTGATGATGAACTCCGGCGCGTAATTTATGTGCCTAGCCGCACGGGCAAAATCCGAAAATAATGGATGATGCGGTGCCAAGCCCGTTAACACGACCAATAATTGAGTTTCAATCTACCCCGCTCGTATACGTATATACGCTATACGCACTTCGACGTGCTTGGAAACGCGTATAGTTTTGCGCCAAACTCCCCCGTTGTTCTCCTATCGCATTTTGCACGCCGCGGAATCTCGCGTTTCTATATGTGCGAGTCATTAGCGGGATCGGCGATGAAAAATACATTGCCGTTCTGTTAATCAATCATGCGTACTATTTACGCGTATTTGCGCGTCTCTCATCGTTGAAATTGGAGCATAATTAAATACGCGTAAAACATATCACGTAATTGATCGCAATCAGGCGTTAATATAATTACGCGTCTCTCGTATTTCTATCATGTTCCATATCGTTATCGTTCGCGATATCGTCAGTTAAGAATACCTACGTCCATTTTATCGGGAACGTATATTTCATAACGCGACAATAGATACGACTTTCCGACGTCGCGTCGCGTTAACGCAGGTACTATCGCACTTTTCATACTTCAAAGCGCCACCGAGCGCTTATCGTATTCCTCCGTTGTCGTCGCCACCGCGAGATAACACCCGCGCAAATTGCGCACCGACTGATACCGACGGCGAAATTGCGGCGGCGCGGCGGCGACGGCCTCGCGACGATATATCGCCTTTGAACGCGGTTCGTCTGCATTCTTCATTCTACCTGGGAATACAACGGACGGGACGCGCACACCGGACAGCGTGGCGCAACGACACGATACTCGGGGATCGACAGCTGGTTTCGATATCGCGTGTCCCGCGTGGATGTGCCACGCCAACCCACGAACCCACCTCCAACCCCCTTCTCGGCGCGCTACATACGTTGCTCCCGTTGCGTTTCGCTTTCCAGGCCGCCACGCCGGTCGGTCTGGACGCCGACACCTGGTCACTTCCTGACATATGGAGCCCGCTCGCTCGCCGCGTTGGTCCCATCATCCGCCGGGAATCACTTCCTCCGCGATTAATCTGATAAATTGCCCGCACGGCCCAGTCAAAACCGCCTGACTCCAGCAATTCCGTAATTGATTGCCGTCGGACAGGCGGGCGGCGCGGCGCGTGGACGCTCGCTTTTGTTTGCACTCGCTACCCATTATATCTCGAGACGGCACCAGCCGATATAGTTGACCTCGGTGTTAAGATCGATAGCGTTCGTGCCGCGCGCTGTCAAGAAAATCGCCAAGAAAATCGCCAAGAAAATCATGCTACGATGCCCTCCTAATCGTCGACATCCGCGGCGGCTGTGGCGTATGCCGATCACCTCTGGCGAATCGATCGCGGATGATTCAACGAGAATGGCGAATCGCTTCGGGGTTCACACACATTCGTTTTGTAAGCACCCTGCTGTTTGCCGGGTAAATACCCACATTTCAAAAAGCAGTTACGTAGCTCGATACTCACCAATATTGAACTCGCAACGATATTTGTTTCTCTTCATTTTTAAGCGGTTAGGAAATATTGATCGCTCCCATAACGCATTCTGACATCATAGAATCGCGATTTACGTAATTGTAAATAATCCGATTATTTGTCAATCACGTCGTTAGGCATTTTCGCCGGTTAGTCGGGCGCACAATTTAGCCGAATAGCGTCTTCTGAATAATGCATCTCGCCGAGGGCGTTTATCGAGGCCGGGCGGTGCGGACGGGGGGAGAAGAGAGCCCGCTGAAAGTGCAGTCGCGATAAAGTAATTTGCAACAGGCTCGTTTATCAGCGAGGGCTGTGTGAAGATACCGGGTCGCAGCTGATCGCAGAGCTCTACGGGTGCGGGTCGCAATCATGTCAGCCGCGATCCGCTCGCCCCCGACGCGAAACGTTATGTCGCGTTTTGACACGTAATCATCCGTCACTTTGTCTTCTCTATTTCTCTTTCCCTTCTCGCGTCACCGCTCGGGGATCGTCCACGCCTCCTCCCGCCGTCGTGCTTTACGCACGTGTGTCCGGAGCTTTTGCGCAACGATGCCCCGGCCATTATTACACATTAATGTTGACGTACGAGGTAATACTCGCGTGTTGCACCCGATATTTCGGTAATTAGTCTGCCTGCTCGTCGGCTAATCACGGGAATGCCGCGTGCATGTGCGGCACGACACGGATGTTCGTGTCTGCAATCGCGATAATGCAATCCGCTGTGAGCTGAACGTGCGTAAGCAGTACTTGTCGGACTTGAGATGCAAATAGCGGGAAATAATCTGCGCCTAATCAACCGGCGCTCTTTCGGTGCACGCGCGCGCGCGCGTTAAAAGAGTTATTCTCCGACGCCAGCGGTTACCCGCTCTCTGTGCTCGATTCAAGCTTCTAGCCTACGTCCGAGACTTTAATCTGTATAATTTAGCGATTTCATAATAATAGATTGAAGCCCGTTATGTCGTGTAATAATACGTTCCCTCGCGGACGCAATTCGCGTCGCGTAAAAAAACTTGTTTATCAATCGGATAACGATCGTCCTTATTCCGGCGTTGGAAAATTGCCGTAGCGTTTATCGCCCGTATCGCGTCGTAACGATAAAATCACGTTTGTAAGTTGCACGTTGGCGCTTAATTGACACGCTAATAACTACGGCCGATGGTCTTGATTGGTCTTAAACGCGACTGAGTGATGGCTGATTGTGAGTGTGCGCGGCGATGAAGGACCACAATAATAATAATAATCATCGATATAGTCGGGCCCTCTCGATTCCCGACCTTAATTGATTGTAAATCCGCTTAATCGATAAAAGACCACGTTTTAATAGACGTCTGACGCGTGACGCTGTGTGTGAAACGTCGCTCTCTATTTCCCATTAATTTTCTGGGTATTTAAGTCCCGCGAACGGCGTCTTTATTGAATTTCTTGAAGGATATTACAAATTCTTGCTTTTAATATCATAAATGCGTCGACAATAATATTTAGAAAAGTTCTCAAGACATGTACAAGTTAGAAAAAGAGATTAGAATTTATAAAAAACAAAGTCATATAATTCTTAATGTATATCGAATGGATTATACGGTTTTTTTTATTGAGACAATCTGTCTTTTATAATGTGTAGAAAACTCCGCTCGTTTTGGAATTCTTGTTAGAACTCCGCGGATAAGAAATTTAACCGCGTATGCTCCCAGTCGAATATTACATTCGCAAGCTTCATGAATCTTGCATGGGCCCGCGTAAATATGCATAAATATGCATATCTCTGTGTACTTAATGGTCTAAGTCTACGGCAATATATTACAAGATTCGATTACTTAGTAGTTAGCGGCAAATAGACGAGGGTTGACCCTGATCCTCTGTGTCAAGTTTACTCGCGCAGAATCGATTGTTTGCGAAGGGTAAGTACATCCCGCAGTTCTGCAGACATCATCGCGCAACCTCTCTGATCTTTAAAGTCTGAAAATTGTCGCGGTATAGACTGCGCGTTCGGCGAGAACCGTCACGAGCAAAGCGGAAGTAGCTTGCGGAAATTAGAATGTTACGTAACAGCGAGGAAATAAGTGTAACGCTTTTGCGATTGCCTTATTGCTTGCAATATATAATCTATGTAACGCGCGTATATAAAAATCAGCACGGTATAGAAAACAATCTTCTCGCGTTCTTTCGCAATGTATAAAAATTAAATTAAATTAAAAATTAAATTCCACAAAATCGTTATTTTTGTACTCAGGATGTTTTTTATTTCCGGCGAGAGTTGAGTTGCCATTTTTTTCCTTGAGGTGCACAAGTTTCACGCCCTTAAATTTTCGAGTTTCGTTTCCTCACACCGCTGTGTGTGGCGTTTGTCGAGCGAGAGAAGAAGTCGGGCGCGCGCGAGACCTCACCTCATCCAGTCTTCTGCCGTCGTGGAGCGTCCTCGAGGCGACTGAAATCTGCCTGCTCTTTCTTCAGCGCGGCGGGAGGGCAGGCAGGTAAAAGAGACGCCGGAAGTCTGACGGGAAAGGGGGAAAGTCGCTGTCGAAAAATCAAGGTACGGTAAGCGCACCGCGACGTTCGCAATTTCCTGATCGAGGGGGAAACGCCGCGCCGCGCCGACGGAGTTGCGTCTGCCTGCCTGCCTTAAACAGCCACGCCTCGATTCGCGTGTCACAAAGAGCGTATCCGCGTACCGTGGCCCCTTAAGGCGACGGAAAAGTTGGACGAGGTAGCGCGGGAGTAAAGGAGGTTGTGAGCGAGCGAAGATGAGGAGCAGCGAGCGCAAGCGAGAACGGATAAAGGCCCATTTAGACAAAACGAAATCTTTCGAGGTTCCGCGACCAGCCTTTTTTCAAAAAAGAGTTCTTTTCAGAAAGGGAAAGTCGAGCTGAGATCAGTATGATAATTTCCATAACATAGGAAAAGCCTGCGTCGCATTTACCTTTTAGAATTTCGCTCGTTAAGTGAACGACTTTTATATAAAGGGAACTGAATGCTAGTTTTAATTATCTTGCAGAATTCAATATCGGAGGTATAACGATGCGGAATTATATTTGATTTTCAATCCTTTTCACTTGGATGAATCTCGTGTTT